GGGGGGGGGGGGGGGGGGGGGGGTTAAAATAAGCAAAATGAACAAAATATTGATACTTGACCCGCTTATCGATCAGCGGGAAAGTGACACTCGGCTAATTTAAATAGGATGTATTTATGACGAATGCGGGTGCGGAGTGACATTTTTCTGGATTCGTCTGGATGAGAGGGGGTAAAATTTAGTGATAAAAAAAAACAAACGAGTGCATTTCTGATATCAAACATATTTCAGCAAAAACATACCAGTATGATAAGTAACTTGGGTTGAAACTCATCCGTTTGGGATCGTGAAAGGTATGACAGAAGGAGTAAAATTATAAATTGATGATCGAGAGGAAAAAGAGAATTTTGGTAGACTTTTGCGGTGTATTCAAGTTTTTATCGTATATAGAAGATAAGGGTTGATGATAAGGGAGGATGAGAGGAAATAGAAATTAAAAGAACGATAGGCGAGAGTCAAACGAGTATTCTGCTGTATTCGCTTCCAAAAAAAAAAAGAGAATATATATATATTTTGGCCAAAATTTTTGTCGGGCTAAACTTTTGCCATTGACGTTATCTTTGTTTGACGGTATAAACTTTTGTCTTTTTAAATTATATAGAGCGTGTTAGAGAATTCTATTTTATTATAAAATTGAGAGAGAGAGAGAGAGAGAGGGGGGAAATATATATATATATATGTATATGTATATTATTTTTCAAAATTCGTTGTACACGAGCGCATATAATCGCGAGATAATCTTTTAATCATTTATTTCGTTGAGATTAATTCTACGCACTGTTTTCGGCAATGTTTCATTTGTCAAATTATCAAATATGTTATACGCTAACAGATCGTTTCTGTAATGACACCTGTTACAAGAGATTTTTGATTTCATGTTATTTTTCTTTCTTTATTTCGTGCCTTTGTTTCTGGTGCCACGATCTGATGTTTTTTTTTTTGTTTGCGTGGATAAATGTGCGAGCGCACGTATAAGATACGGAATAAGAGATAACTTGAGTGTCAAGGCCATTCTACAATGCAATATAATAGGAAATAAGTTATAAGAAATAAGCAATAAGATCTTTATTTGATATTTACGTAATTCCATTGGATCCTCCAATCAAGAAAGAGAAAAAAGAAGGAGAAAATCGTTTTTAAAACCGAGCGTTTACTAAGTCTCTACGATTTTTATGACGTCTTGAACATAGCAACGATACCGAAGCGGTTGCTAGGGTCTTTAAGGACTTCACGTAGCACGAAACGTGATGAGTAACATCGAGCATGCTCCGTTCCGTAACTTATAATTTTTATGACGTCTTGGACATAGCAACGATACGGAAGCGGTTGCTAGGCTCGCTAAGGATTTCACGGAGCACGAAACGACATTGTCAAATGTCATTATCTGTCACCTGTCATTACCAGCTCTATAGACGAGGTCATTATCAATATCGTTAGAGAAATGAAATTTCTCTACGATAAAAGTCATTGTGACTTTAAAAATGAAGTAATGATTTACTTATCTGTATGAATAAACGCATACACATTTTTTTTTGATATTCATATATTGACAGATAATGACAGGTAAAAACGATTTTCTCCTTCTTGATTGGAGGATCCAATGGAATTACGTAAATATCAAACGAAGATCTTATTGCTTATTTCTTATTCCTTATTATATTGCATTGTAGAATGGCCTTCAGAATTATATTTCGTTATTGTAAGCGCAATGCGTTTGCGTGTATTGCCCAAGGATTGACACGTGAAGAATGGAGAAATCTGTTGAATGGAAAGAAAAGAAAGAGAAAAAAAGGAATCGCGAATTTTGTAATCGCCAGGAAATGTTCACGCTTGGTTTACTTTTTTTAATTCGTTGTGTACGCGAGCTTTCGGTACCGCGTGATTCTTTTCTTTTTTTATTTCTGGCTCTTTTTTCTTCTTTAAATTTACGAACGACTCGAACGCATTTCCAACCAGTCGTCAGTTATTCTGGTCGATCGATGAAAAATGATTTTCATCGTTTGTTTTTTTAATGTCGCCCTAAATAAAATAACTAAGAGGTTGGATTGACGATCGCCTGAACACTTACCGACAGAATATAATCTTAAGATTACATTTAGCTGATTATTGTCGATTAAAGATGATTTTGTGTAATTAATGAGGATGATGATGATGATGATGATGATAATGTTGAGAGAACGAGAGAAAGTATGAGAGAGAGAGAGAGAGAGAGAGAAATGAAAAAAAAAAATAACACGAAGAAATGTAATATTTTGCTACCGAACTACAATTTTTAAGTCCATAGTTTTTATCGAAGAAATGAAATCCTATTACATATACATTACTGAATTATTACGATATTACGTTTGTATTACTTGTACTATATTTCTACTTCTGACTTCTGTCTCTGACGTTTCGTTTACAAATCTAATTAATCAGAGATCCGCTATTAATTTAAAATTTTGTTTTATTCGCGCCAAATGAAAATCCTGCGATTCCAATTTTTTTCTGGTGTTCCTTTTTTTTCCGCAGTTGGCAGCACTTTTACAGGAGATGGACGGTATTCTTCCTTACGCTCAATGTTCGTTAAGAATTTTTATAATGGTGACTTTCGAGCCTCTCTTCCATTTTGTTTTTGTGATCAAGCAACTTTTCTTTTATTTCGCGCCGGGATTTTCATCCTTCGTCCAATCGATCGATTCGCACAAATTGATCAAGAACTGGGCAAGCACGTTCTTGATAATTGATCGAATATGCAAACGTTTGTAATATATACGTATATTAATGCGCGGCGCGCGGAAGGGGATGGTTTTTCGAAAAGATGTATGATAAGAGAAAATCGAAGAAATCTAACAGTAGAGTTGTACCAATGAATTCGAAGCCGTAAAGAAGCGAAAAAAACTGGTCAGTCTCTTTTTAGATTTGAGATTAATTTTTTTTAGATAACTTTTTTAACTAAACTTACACGAGGATTTTTGTTGGCTTACCTTCACGATCGAAAATCTCGAGACTTAAAGTTTTTTTAATTTTTGACTCTCGGGTAAGCACTTCGTTAAACGGAGTTGCGTTTCTTTTAGTTTTATTATATATTTTAGACCATTTGCCGAATAGGTTAAGGTTGGATGGTCGACAAGATTCTCGTGTCAGTTTGAAAATACCAAAATTGAAAAAACATCGTCGGGCAGCTTGAATTCCTAAGATTAATAAAAGAAATTAAATGTAATGATTAATCAAATTTCCCGAATTTCTTTCTTCGGGCACTCAACGTTTCCGCTTCCGGTTTTTCCCTTTTACATATGTGTGTATATAAATGCTAATCGTCATCCAACACTGATTAACTTGACAATGCGAAGAAAGTAACCTATGGAATTGACACTGTCACTTTCATTGACAGTTATGTCCGTGCAGACTGCCATTAGAATTATTGTAAAATAGTTTTCAAGAGTTTCCACGAGGAATCAAGACGTTCTAAAAGGAAAGCAGGTGATGTTGATCGGATGAGAAAAGTAAAGGGAAATACGGCGTCGTAGAATTGCAAGTTTTTAAAAGCAATCGTAGAACGACGATAAATAAATAGTCGTAGACGAAAGAAGAAAAAAGGAAATGCTAATGTTTGTCATATTATTCTAAGCTTTGTTCCTCGATCCTGTTCAACAATAGAGTAAACGCTACACTGTGATAACCAGGCACTACTACTTCGTTGTCAAAGAGATGCTTTTTCGTCGAATTCAGTCGTGTTTTCTTTTTTATTTCACTACACGTTCCTTTCTCTCTTACCTCCATCATCCTGCGCGTTCGATTTTTCCTTTTTTGCTACCTTCAAGACTCCACCATTTTCGTCATATTCCTTCGGGAGGTTGGTGGGTCGCGTTCGAACATTTTTTTTTCAGACGAACAATATTTTTTTTTACGGTTACCAATAACGAACAATTCCATTTGCCTCCTACGATTGCTTACACTGTTTTTATTTATATGAATTTACCACGTTTCTTTGTTTTTTTTTCTTGTATGTCAGATAATATTTTAAAGATGCTGTAGAATAATCTGTTAATCGAGCGGCCCGTCGATTGGCTCATTATATTTGTAATTGACTGTAGAACAATGTAATCGAGGACTAACCGAAAGACATGAAGATAACGAGAGTTCAGAGATACGATAAGATAAGGAATAGCGTGTGCGAGACTGTATCATAGTTATAAATAAATGTATATGTTGAGTACCAAAAATGTTGAAAAATTATTTCACTACTTTTTTGTCAACTATATCTTCCGTTTAGAGACAGGACGATTGCAACGAGAAAATAAATGTGCACTGTGATGATCGAAGCTCTATTACTGTATCTATGGTGATTGAGGGCGAGAAATAATTCGATTTGAACGTGATTATTGAAAACGTAAATTGTTACGGTTGTTGTTTTGAATTTTAAAAGGCTTTCATAGGACAAGGTAAATAATAAGATCAGTTTTTAAGTTTTTACGAGTGTGACTGTATGATCGAAGACTTACATGCTAAGACAAAACGTATAATCAATGTAGGTGTATAATATGGCGCATTTATATATATTATCGTGAATATTCATTATTGTTAAAGGAATTGTTCGAAAAGTCTCATCATTAATTTCTTAATTGCATCGAAGAATTAAGAATGGCATATAAGAATTTTCGATCGACACATCCTTTTTCTTTCTTTTTGTTACAAGATTCTTGGCGCCTTAAAGCTTCAAATATTTTTCTAACCTCCAAAGTTACGGAAACTTAAGAACGAATTTTTGGACTATATTTGAAATCTTCGAAATGGACGTCGCAAATTTGACATACTCATCTCTATTGCATTGGCTGAGGCACGACTGACACTGCATCGTACCTATTATTAATCTTTTCTCTCTTTCAAATATTTAGAACATCGTGCCATTAGAATATTCGTTTTCTCTTAGAAAGTCCAGGAAGCATTTGTACAATAAAGGTACTTCCCAGTCAACAAAAGTATACTAGATTAAATCAGTCTAATTGATTTCATCTCTCGGTTTTATTATGAAAATTCGTTCAATCTAGCACAACAGTTAATTGAGCCACCTGAACCAGGTGCTGAATTCGATGAAGCTAAATTTCGCAGTGTTACAAATCTTGTGCATAGTTTCTATCCGACTACAAGAAGAAGCTGTACGAGCAACACGTCACGACGGTGACGCAATATTGACAATGGCGATAAAAGGATGTGCCCGTAGAAAAAAAAATCTACATAACGAGAATTCTTAAAGAAGTAAAGATCGTTTGTTTTCGTAAATCCAACGTCAAAAGAGACAGCGCGAGTAATAAAAAAACAACGAAAATATCAAGAAAAAGAGAAAACGCGACACGATCTCAACGCCTGACCGTAGAATTTTTCGTTACGTAGATTAAATTACAAAAAAAAACTATTTTCTCGTTTCGTCCTTTAAGAAATTCCCTCGGGTCTATTTCAATATAAATTCTTCACTCAATCCTTCAAATAATCGAATCTTTATCAAATCATCGCTTGGCACTCTCTCAGTCCAGCATCACCTTTAACAGTATCTTCCTCCCTTCACGCCTCTACTGTCTATTGAAATCTTCGAAGACGACTCTGGTGGGACGAGGACGCCAACATCTGCTTCAGGGAAAACATGCTGAGGGAGACACCAAGAGTGGCGAGCAGAAGAGCTGATCTTGCTGTACCACGGTCCACTCCACTCTTGCGATAGACAGGTGAACCGTTACTCTGTTTAAAAAGGAAAAACAATTTTTTATATAAATATACTATCAATTAACTTCTTTCTCGACAGTTATAATCCAATTTCTTTTTACCTGATTGAGTGTGATCCTGATGGAATAAAGTGCAGTTCGCGTTAGATGCATCTCGGCACCGTAACTATTCTCGCTGTCTCGCACCCTGAAAAAGCACAAGGACTATTTTTACTACCAGGTTCTCGCTTTTGTTTCATAATAACATTGTGTAACATCCTTCGACCCAGTTGACAATCAATGGACAGTAATTATTTAATTCACATCAGTTTGGCCCGAGTGCGTTATCAGTCGTGAAAATTATATTAATAATTTTCATTTCTTTCATTTTCAGTCAAAACAATGAATCTAATCGATCCACGCGATTTTATCAGTAACCAAAAATTTTCTCACCGTCACCCGTATTCGCGTTACGTCGAATTTCGTTGCGTCTAACTCGTGTGATAACGGATATCGCGAATAGCGTTATAACACGCCAAACGAACAAACTCCGACTGATTCGCGTGGAGAATCTACGGATGCTAATTCAGTACTACGTTGTGGCAGTTTGCCAGTAGATTGTAACGAAGAGAAGGGGGCAACTGGTTCAACTTACGTTTGGCGAATAATTGTCTGTTACCACGTATAATGGTGAATGGTTTGATAAGAAAAAAAAATTAAAGAACAACGTAAACTCTAGTCAATTTTATTATTTTTTACTGATACTTATGCCAATCAATCATATACAAAATTGTAAGAAAATATAGGTCCTACGAAATTCTTTAATTAGATACCACTTTTCAATAAAACTCTTATCAGACTGTTACTCGTGATATTTTATCTATGGAATTTACAGATCGCTGCACATGATTATAAATGCTATATTAAGATCTTAGGAGTGACAACTAAAGTGTATATACTTGATAACGTCTTGTTACGATTTAGTTAATCGGTGTGACTTATTTTCCATTTTTATGAAAAATATCTCGGATATTTTTTTGAAAAATTAAAATTTTATTCTATTATATTATTAATTTCAATCAGCAATTGATTTTTATACATTCCAATGGTGTATCAGATTCTAGTAAGAGTGAGTTACCAGTTAAGAATTAGAAGGTCGACTATTTGTATTTACAATGCCACTGCCTAATTTCAAGGTTTGACGTACACTGAACCCGGGACTCTGGTTCTACGACAATGAACGCTAGAGCAAATTTCTAGAGTATACGAAGTTTGTAAGTTTGAAGAGTTAAGATTAGGAGATACGCAACTTACATCGTTCTAATATACAAGTAGCGCCGTCCATAATCATTTAAGTGCGCCATTGGCGTTTATGTATTTAAAAAAAAATTATTCATATCATTATAGATTAATTTGAAATATATGTCAATTATTCCACATAGACCCGCGACAATAAACGGGTGATAAGCTTGTTGTTCTTCGATGAGAACAGCCCTAATCCATTGAATACTTTATCCAACAATACATGTGAAATATGAAAATTCAAAGTGTCATCAGGTGAAGAAAAAATTATGAAAACAAGATTTCAGCAATGAAAAATAAGATAATGTTTGTTAAAGAACTAGCGAAGAGTTCAATATTACGCAGACGTTTGACGTAAAAGGAAGACAACTGATTAAATTTTGTATCAGTAATTGTCGATGATTTGTAGGCGAATCGACGCAGTAGGAAGTGATAGGAAAGTTAAAAAATGCGTTTGACTGTCCCGGGATTTCCTTATCTTTGCTTTGTGAACTTGGTATCTTGAAGGAGAAGTTCCTACTGATAATAATGGTCGTGTATTTGCCTTGGGTATTGAGAGTATTTATTTTTGCGATGAAATACAAGAAAGAGAAAAACAATATACATAAGCGGTGGTGACAATGCAATGTGAACGTCAGACTAGGGGATTTTTATATTGGCCAAAGAGAAATGGCTGGAAGACGAGACTGACAGAATATATATATATATATATAATGAAAGTATAAAAAGATAAAGAAAATAATAATACGCGCGTCCGTAAGCGCCATCCATTTTCTTTCACGATATCAAACATATTTTCGAAACTCGTGACACTCGAGATCCGTGCCAAGACTTTGAACCAGTCAAAGACTTGGCGCCATTGGTTACCTAAGAGGTATCTGGCATTTGGAAATTCGTAATGTCCATACGATAATCATTTGACCAGATTAATGTTATCAATAAAGTTATGTAATGAAACATATTAGAATATCGTTCTATCAATGCATGTTTTACGCCTAAAGCACTACTTATAACCCAAACGCGAAATTATCAATAAAAATCAAAAAGTTGAACGGCTAAGTCATACAACGAGGAAAGTGGCATCATACGTATTTGGCATCTTCTTGTGTATGTAAAATGGGCAAAACTGTATATATCAATAATAAAAATGTGCTTAAAGCAGCGTTTCAAGAAGAGAAAAATGCGTAGTTGATTTCCACGTGGGTCACAGAAATAATCCAGGAGATAATTCATTGCCTTCTATTAATACGAAAGTCATTGAACGAAGGAGAAATGTAGGAAGAACTAAAAGTATAGCGTTGAGAGACCATCGGGCGTAATAACTGATCCGAAAGAAGCAAAGTCTTCTGACCGAATGATTAGCGTAACTGAAAATACTTATCACGACTTTCTATTCATAGAAATACAGTTTTCTTCGCAAAGCTAGACACATTTTCGACAAAATTACTTGTAAATTTTGGCCTGCGTCCAGCGACAGGGTATGCAAAATATACAAAGCTTTTATTCTAGTCATCACGTGCTAACTAAATGTCCCATGTTACGTGAACGTATCGGGTTGCGAGAAGGTTGAAACTACAGACATGAGAGAGCGATTAATGGCGGGGAAGAGAAGATATCGAGAGCGCGTGGAGGACATTCCACCATTTTTATATATGTATTAGAATTGGCCTGAAACTCGTCTTTATATTGTTCACGTATCTTCAATGACAATTACCGACGGCTATTACGTAACTTGCAAACGTCCGCGTAAGTCCTCGCGTGGCGGGAATTACGAAATTCACTTGAAAATAATTAAACTTATGAGACAAACGTATCGCACTAACCTTCTTGCATGAAACTTCTTGGCGAAGAGACAGACAGGACTGGCGTGCACTGTGTCGTCATAGCTGTTTGCTCATTCGCTCAATAGAATTCTCCAGTAGGACTGCGTTCTCAGCCCCATCTATGATTTCCTGGTCAAAACAGCACAGCGTCCTCTGTTACAGTTACAGTGAACGTACATAGATGACGCCAGCTTCCATGATAAAATTTAGAAGTCTATGCGGGTTGCAGGCGTTCAGGCGCTTTCGTACCTCACATTTTTAAAAGATTTACTTATTTTTTGAATGAACGTAATTTCTTTTAATTAATGAGGTTTATATGTAAACGAAGAGAAACACTGTTATGATTTTCTTCAAAATGTCTTGCATAATTTAAATGATAAATTTTCATCTTATCAGTGTCACTTCCGCGGGATGCCACAGTATCCTGCTGGCTCAGGACTGTAAATGGATTGACTAAATTTCGTCAGTCTTAAAGAAAGAGAGTTTCATTCAAAATGTCGTGGTTGATTGTCGTGTTGTTGGTGCAAGGATTTTTGCTGATTTCTGCACAGCAAAAAAATCAAGAGAGTCGCTGTGCCGTTCAGCAAGATTGTCGTAGTTGCATTCAGACACCTCAATGTGTTTGGTGCTCAGAAACGGTAGGAGATTTTGTATAAGGCGTGTCAAAGAAAAGTAAGTTTGCTAATTAGTATCAATAATTATTCATTTTTGGACACAGAAGGAAGATTCATCCATTGTACGTTGCGTTTCGCGCAAACGATTTGCCCGAGAGAAAAATCTATGGTGTTCAGAAAATCATGTGATAAGCGATGATAACGTGATGACGATTAATGAGAATAATCCATTATCATGGAATAAAGGTCGAGATTCTGTTCAGATTCAACCACAGAGGATGTATCTACGATTGAGAATAGGTGGCTCAATTATTTTGCTGTTAGGGTCAATTTAATCTGCAATGAAATTCGATACATTTTTTATTATCCATTATAGGAGAGGAACAGAAAATTACTGTTAAATACAGTCAGGCAGAAGATTATCCTGTGGACCTGTACTATCTTATGGATCTCTCAGCGTCCATGGAGGTGCATAGAAACGAGCTGTCGAAACTTGGCCTTCAATTGGCTGAAGCCATGAAGAAGCTAACCTCAAATTTCCGGCTGGGATTTGGCAGCTTTGTCGATAAAGTCACTTTGCCTATGACCGACACAACTCCAAACATGTAAAACACTAGATTGAAAAATATCTAATTGTAACGATCGTCAGTCAATAGTTTTCATCTTACCAATTAATCTCAATAATTCAGGCTCCGATCACCTTGTACGTTACGTCTCAGTGGAAAACCTTGCGCTCCTCCATACGGATACAAAAATCAAATGCGCTTGACGGAAAATATTGATCTCTTTAAGGTACATTAGATATTGTTTTAACTTTGCCTTGTTTTTATGTTAAATATTTATATTTTATTCCATTTTATCAGGCAAACGTTGAAAAGGCACCGGTTTCCGGTAATTTGGATGCGCCGGAAGGAGGCTTGGACGCTGTGATTCAAGCTATTGTTTGTACCGATGAAATTGGCTGGCGGCAAAAGGCACGTCACTTACTAGTATTTTCAACGGACGCCAGTTATCACGTAGCTGGCGATGGCAAGGTAAACGAGTTGACAAAAATTAAAGTTCTTAAAATTATGAATTACTTTTATCAACATGATTTTACTGATTTTACATTTTTTTAAGCTCGCAGGAATTATCGAACCGAATGACGGTCTTTGTCATTTGGATTCTAAAGGATTTTACACGCATTCTCTTCTTCAGGACTATCCATCTATTTCTCAAGTAAGATAACAAAGACGATTACGTGATGACTTTTCAAATACTATAATGCAAACTTTACAGGTAAATCGAAAAGCCCTCGCGCACAATGTTCATATAATTTTTGCAGTAACATCTTCTCAGTATGAGATTTATCAAGAATTGAAAGAAAGTATTAGCGAGTCGTCGATTGGTCTGTTAGATACCTCCACCGGAAACATAGTGGATTTAGTCAGTGGGGAATACAAGGTATTTCACAGAGAAAATAAAATTACACACGAGTTACTAAATTACTGTAAAAATACAAATTACCATGAATTTTTTATCGTATCATAGAAACTCGTAAATTCCGTCACTATGACAGATAACGCACCGGAAATGGTGAACGTGAAATATTTTTCCCGTTGTCTAAATTCAACTGGAGATTTGCAAGAGAGATCAGAATGTGACGGAATCCGTGTAGGGCACGTGGTAGAGTTCGAAGTGAGACTAAAGGTAATCAAATTTCTTTTAAATCGAACAACCAATTGTATAATAATCAATTAACGATCCTTTAAAAATTGAGGCATCAGGATGTCCAAAGGATCCAAAAGACTGGAGACAAACTATTGAAATAAAGCCTAGAGGTCTAAACGACAGTCTGACAATTGATTTGGAATTGATCTGCGACTGTTCGTGTAACAGAGAAGACCATATGGTAAATAAAAAAGAAAATTCACATTTTTTGTCTTTACCAATCCTGAAAATTCAATGTAAACACACAATTTTTTTTCTTTTTCAGGAGTACAAGGTCAACGCGACAGAATGTCACGACAACGGGATTCTTAGTTGCGGTACGTGTTCCTGCAGTCCTGGCTATTATGGAAAAACCTGCGAGTGCAAAGGTCGAGAAGACGGCGGATCTGAAACATCCGCTATAGAAGATTGCGCACCGGGCAATGATACAGAAATATGTAGCAGTCGTGGAAGTTGTATCTGTGGACTTTGTCAATGTACGCATAGAATTGACCCCAACGAGATGTTTTATGGGAAATATTGTGAATGCGACAATTTTTCTTGCAAGCGAAGCGGAGGGTTGGTGAGTATTGTTATTTATATTATTTTTCATATATATATATATTATACTAAATCAGGCAATCTTTCTTAGGTCTGTGGTGGCCAAGGAAATTGTGAATGTGGTGTCTGCAATTGTTATGCTGGCTGGGCTGGTGAAGCTTGCGACTGCAAGGCCACCAACAGTACGTGCATTCCGCAGGGTGCTAATGGTGAAATTTGCAGTGGACGTGGCTATTGTGAATGTGGATATTGTCATTGCCATGAAAAAGATAATATACGTTATTCAGGACTTTACTGCGAGGAGTGTCCTGTGAGTGATTGATTTCTTTTTATTATTTGAAAAATTCAAAAATTAACCTGCGATTATTACCAGCGTGGTGGTAAGCTGCGAGAGGGAGAAATATTTATTATTGGATTAAGAAAAAATTGTATTATTTCTCCGTAGACATGTCCTGGACAAAAGTGTGATGAGCTTAAGGATTGCGTTGAGTGCCTAGCTTACAATAGCGGTCCTTTTTCGAAAAATGGAGAATGCGGTGTATGCCTGCACGACATAGATATTGTTTGTATCTTTTGAATTTTTTCACGTATAATTTATTTCTTTATGTAACTCATGCATGAAAAACGCTACTTTTCGTGCTTTCGAATTCTGGCGAAAGTGGCGCTTTATAACTGAGGATACGATAAACATGCTGCGCATGCGCAAATCGGCCCAATTTTACATTATCGAACTAGTGCGATAAAGTAAACTTTGTTCTCGCGCGCTGTCACGAAATGCATTCACTTTGGAAGCCTTCCTTGCTCTTCTTATGGCTGCCTCCTCCAACGAAGAGATGTTCCAGTCACTTTGGAGGCACAAAAAGTAGCGTTTTTCATGCATTCGTTACAGAAAATATTATGCGATACTGGTACAATAAAGCGAACATTACACGCAGGTCGTGAAGTTTGTCATACTCGCCGCACTCGTAAAATTCGTTA